GTATTAGACTGGGGTTTGTTAAAATGAAAATTTATTAAAAAGATGTTATCAGTGGCTGGCTGCTTCTTAGTCCTGCAAACCTTCTATAGATAAGGGTGACTTGGGGTGTAGGAATGTGTTTGGAGGTCTCCATTCGTGGTGCTACTGGATGTAGGCACTTTCACGGTATCACATAACTAAGACAGAGAAGGCCTGGTGTTTGCAAAATGCATGAATGCAGCCGCAGAGGGAAATAGATCAAGTTTTAGACTTAGTAGTAGAAAGTAACTAATTCTAAATGTGAACTCTGCATCGTCACTCCTCTACTGTTACTCACCAGAACAGGCCTAATCTCTGAGACATGCTCTGCATGTGCCTGGGTCTGTGCGCATGAGATAGGTTGAAGGACAGGGTTTCCAAGAGCCAACTTGCAAAAGGTTCATGTGTTTTGTGGGTTTTTGTTTTGTTTTGGCTGGTTTTGCTTGTTTGTTTTTATTCCAGAAGATTCTAGAAATGAGTGGAATTGGGAAGCCAGATAGTGTTTAACTACATGGATCCCAGTCTGGTTTAGATCATGAATCTGAGCCCTAAGAAAGAAGCTTAAAGTCCAATTTTCATAAGGCATTCAGAAAGGATATAGAACCTCGGGGTAAGAAGGTAGAGTGAGTGAAGGAGTGGCCTCATACTTCTGTAAGTGACTTCGTCATGACAAGAACAACGATGCCTGATAGCTCAACACAGCAGTGGGACCACACTAACATCAGTGTCATAAATATTGCAGTGGCCCTTATAGCAGTAAAAGTAGTAAAGTATTGTCCTCTTCTGGTCAGTCATTAAGGAGAAAATCAAAGCAAGCCACCATGAGTCTAGGGGACTCACAAAAATATTACAGAAGCATGAGGTTCTAAAGGAGAGTATCTCTAGATTTGGGGCACTACTCTAATTTGACCCCATATTTATCAAATACTGGTAATACTTGAGTTACACAAGAAAAGTCAGTTCTCTGAAGGAATTCAATGATCCTTCTTTATTCCTGAGGCCATCTCGTCTCCAAACCTTCAGGAAATTTCACTTTTTTATTTTTATTTTTTATTTTTACTTTCAGACAGATTTTTGCTATAGGATATGTGGGCTCAGTGGAGACACAGAGAGACAGAAAGAGAGAAACCACTCCCAGGGAGGATGACCATGCTGCTATCCTATGTCCTTCATTCTCCTCTTGGGATTTGGGGTACTCACGCATATGCTCCCAGCATGAGTTTTAAGCCACTGGATCTGGGACTCAAACCACAGTAGACTACTTGGGAGTCAATGACTTAACTATTACGCAATCTGCCTGTCCCAGGAAACTTTTCACTTGCAGGATAAGTTCCAAATCCTTTATTCTAGCATTCTATTTTAGTTAGTCTGCCCCAACCTAGCACAATGCTCTTCTCATTCCATTTTCTAAGTAAACTTTGGCCGCATGTCGATCTCTAGTATCCTTTCGTGTTTCTTCCCTATGCCTCTGAAGATCTTATTGTTGAGACCAGATCAAGTTCTGCCATTCATTTCTTTGAAACTTTCCCTAACTGCCTCAGTCCACAGTAATCTTTCACATTCAAATTATTGCTTAGTTTCATATTTCCTTTTTACATACATAATTAGTTTTTCACATATATTGCCTCGTTAGTCATCTTTTCCCTTAAATATTGTGTTCATCTCCCTAGATGCACTGTAAGCCCATTGACTTCTCCTCAGCCTCCTCTGGATCTGGCCCACTACTGGACATATGAAGTTGGTACAGTTCAGTTGCATGATTGAGTTCCTGATGATCTGACACTGGTACCTTGGTAAGATTGCCTTCATGCCTTGCCTTTTATTTTTTTTAGATATGAGAGCAGAGCAGAAGGTACCACAAATGGGTTTTCAGTGCATGAGCATATTCATCAGTACTTTGGCTCTCACTTATTCTTGCCCCTCTGGTGTTCACTCCTGCTGATGTGGATTTCAGACTATCCCAGGCAGTAGGTGGTGTGAACCATTTGCTGGCTTTCTGAGTGAGAGTGTGGTATCCTAAGGCAAGGATAAAATCATCAGGCTCATTTTCATTTCTGAACACAAATTCCCTGAAGCTAGATTTATTTTCTTAGAATAAAATCATATTATTATAGAGGGCCAGGCAAGGAAGAAATATACATGTTGCACCTTCTCATTATCATCTTTATCTGTGAGTGAAATGGATTTTGGTTTGAATTGATCTTACATTTATGATAACTGCAACCTTGCATGGATCACTTGCCTAAGACTCTGTGTCCTCATCTGTGAATTAATGATAATATTTCCTATTTGGAAAGTGCTGGAGGAGATAAATGAGTTAATATATGTAAATTATCAAAGGTCATGACTGGCATATAGAAGGTACTTAATAAATTATAACTATAATATATGTTATCAATCAACTAGATATATTTATTATCTACTCTTTAATAAGTCTCAGGCATATGAAGGCATCACCATGCATTGTTTTGTTTCATTTTTCCCCAAATTCCATTCAATTCAGTTAGGAAAATAAAATATAGATGTAAAAGATTATTGAATCTAAATTTGACTGAAATTTATTAAATCCCTCTTTCACGTTTGTACAGAACCAAACTATACAAAGATGAAATATATGCTGCCTACTATGAAGGAGGGGTCAATGCTACCAGGAGGCCAGGTGAAATTTACAGTGATGGATAGGGAAAATAGGAGTAAATGGTCTTGGATAGTTTAATGACAGGGGTATGTTCTGAACAATGAATTATTAGGGCCACTCAGTGGTATGGTGGTTAAAGCAGCTGGATCTCACATGACCTACTATGCAGTTCATGACCTAAACCTGGTGACTTGAGAAACATGATGAGCAACTGTGCGTGCATGCCCAAAATCCCAAGAGGAAAATTAAGAAGGGACTGTGGCATGACTGCCCCCCCCATGGGGTGCTTTCTCACTTTCCCTCTCTATATATCTCTATCTCTCTCTAGTAGGTGCATGTATTCTATACCAAATTTAAAAATAAATAAACAAGTAAATAAATAAATGTACTGTTAAGCATTTTTGTTTTATGTGAATATCATAGAGTGTACTTACACAAACACAGGTGGTATAGCTTATTACACACTTAGGCTCCATGATATAGCCTGTTGCTCCAGAGCTACCAGCCTGAACAGCACAGTACTATACTGAAGACTCCTGGCAAGTATCACACTGTGGAAAGTTTTCATGTATTGAAAGATACTTAGACACAGAAAAGGTGTACAGAAATGTCATATAGAAGATAAAAGATGGCATACCTATATAGGGCACTTTCCATGAATGGAGTTTGCAGGACTAGAAGTGGCTCTGGGCTAGTCAGTGAGTGAGGGGTGAGCAAATGTGAAAGATTCCTGAGCATCACTATAGACTTTGTAAACACTGCACATTTAGACTACATTAAATTTATTTTTTAAAATTTCTTTCTTAAATAATGAATTAATCTTAGCATATGGTAAATTTTTGCTTTATAAACTTTGTAAATTATTTTAGCTTTCTTTTATGCCTTTGTAATCACACAGCTTAAAACAAACATGATTATACAACTGTACAAATATCTGCTTTCTTTACATCCTTGCTCTGTAAACCTGTTCTTTAATTTTTTTTTAATTTCACCTTCTTTTATACATTCAATCACATGTTACTTAGTTTACAAAGCAAATATTCCAACATGTCTACACTTCTTACAAGTCCAGTTTTATATTTTAATTTTCCTTCTTTATTTTTTTAAATGAAGGCATAAATACATACTAACCTAGGTTTATACATGGTAAAAATAATTAATCTTAGTGTCTTCCACACCCACATCTTGTCCCACTGGAAGGGTCATGATGAAAAAAATGATGTAAGAATAAATCAAGCGCAAGAGAAAATAATACAATGAAGAGATTTAGTAAGCACGATGTGTATGTGGCAGCTGTCAGAGTAGCATGGCATAATATTTTACAGTAAAATTATAACACTTAAAAAAATAAGTACAGGGACTATCAGTTAGCATAATGACTATGTTGCTGGACATAGTCCAGTGTAGTTGACCACGGTTCGTGTCCCGGACCCGGTGGCTTAAAACTTAAAAATGAAGAATTAAACCCAAATCAAGACAATTATTATTACTGTTGTTCTGTGTGTGTGTGCGTGCCCAAGATCCCGAGAGGAGAATAAAGGAGAAAAGATTGCAGCATGGCCATCCCCTCTAGGGCGTGAGTTCTCACTTTCTATCTCTCTGTCTTTCTCTGTCTGGCAAGTGTATGTGCCCTATAGCAAAAACCTCTAAAAAAATAATAATAAGCATAAGGGGTGCCAGCAGATGGCATGGAGGTTAAGGCAGCTGAATCCTACATGGTCAACTAATCAGTTTGAGTCTCAGACACAGTGGTTTGAAAACATGCCAGGCATATGTGCTTGTTTGCCTAGAAACCCAAGAGGAGAATGAAGGAGAAGGAATTGGATTGCAGTGTGACCATCCTCCTGGAGAGTGAGGAATTTCTCATTTTCTCTCTCTCTCTCTCTCTCTCTCTCTCTCTCTCTCTCCCTCCCTCTCTGTCTCTCTGGTGAGTGCAATTTTAGCAATTTTTTTAAGTAACAAAAATAATTAAGTAGAGGGAATATACTTGATAATTAAAGAGTATAGTATATACATAAACCAGAAGCATATCATTTGTTATCAAGTATTGTGCACTGTACACAACTTTACGTGCTGTACTTTTTACACCTGTCAGTGCAGTAGGTGCCCTTACATTGGCATTAGCTCAAACACCTGTGTAATGTGTTGCACCATGACTTTACCACACTACGGCACTAGTGGTTAGAATATTTCCGCTCCTTTATGAGCTTATTGGGACCACCATTGATTATTGGATGTGTTGTTGACCAAAACCTTGTTAAACACACAACTCTATATGTATGTGGATACCAGAGTTCTTTGGTCTGCAAGGTAATCGCTTTGAAAAAGTTCAAATGCCTTGTGTATTAAAAGTGATTTATTGTTTCTCATTTCATTAAGTGCAGACTAGGACCTCAAGGCCACCAATAAGTTCTGGGTATGTATAAATCGAGTTGCAAATGTATAAACTGTGGCTCTGGGTTTCGGACCCCCATTGGTAGGATGTGGGGCCAGTGAGCTGGAAGCTCATCAATGTCATGAAAACCCAGACGTTTCTCTGTCTTTTCTTTCTGCGGTCTATGGTGGTAGCTTTCCATCTCGCATTGCAGTTTGGTCATTGAAGTTTCATGTTTCCTTTTTGTGTCCAGGAACCTGAATAGATAAGAAGTGAAAGTGAGAAAGAGACAAAGAGTCAGAAGTTCTTTCATTTTTTAATGGTGAATCAAAAGTTCTTTTTTTTTAAGGGTAAAGATTTTATTGATAAATGTGTCAAACAGCTGAGAAAACTTCTATAACATAAGAGTATGTCTGAAGCTTAAAGGGATACTGTTAATTTTTTTTTGAGAGAGATTTTTGCTATAGAGTGTGTGCACTCGCCAGACAGAGACAGAGAGACAGAAAGTGAGAAATCACCCCCCAGGGGGGATGGTTACGCCGCAATCCCTTCTCCTCCATTCTCCTCTCAGGATCTTGGGCATGCACGCACACATGCCCGGCATGAGTTTAAGCCACCGGGTCCGGGACTCGAACTGTGGTCGACTACATGGGAGTCCAGCTACATAGCCATTATACTAAATGCTGGTCCCAACTGTTAATTATTTTTTCCCAGCAAAGGAACAGGGCTTAACTTTAGTAGACAACATTACTTTTAAAAAAAAGCCAAAAAGAAAAATGAAGAATTAAACCCAAATCAAGATAATTATTATTACTGTTGTTGTTATACTGACAAATTAGCATTTATATAATACTCATAATTTTATTATCACTTCTACTTCTGAGATCATGAAGTCTGTGTCAATAACTTTGCTCACTGCTTCTGGAGCTTCTGTTAGTTTATCCTAGCCCCACAGAGTGCCCACAATCCTCTCAGTTCTCAATTATGTATTGAGCCAAGGACACTATTATGTGTGATTAGCTTCAGTTTAAGTCCCTAAACTATTGATATAATCTGATTGTCTCAAAAGAATCACAGTATGGCTTTGGATTACGGTCAGTGCCCTATAGACCTCATGGCTGCTGCAAAAATAAGAGAGTGGAATATATATTAGAGAACCCAGAACAATGTCTAGAACTGGGTCTAAGTACAAGGTGAGATAAGTTGACCTCATGGCTTTATACATCCTTTCATCAATAATCTTTATCCTGGATTAGTTATGTCATAATGCTGACATATATCACCTTTCACTCAATCACAATTACTGAATTATAAAAATCTCTTAATAGGAAATAAGGCACAGTTACAGAAATGGTGAACAGGAGTTGGTCCTACTGGCCTACTAGCTAAAGGAAGTTTTGCTACTTTTATTGGTTGTTTTTCTGAATATTTCAGCATTCTTATTCAGAATGCAAATGGGTTGCCCATTAGATATCCAACCATCAGTAGTGAGAAATTAATTTTAGCAAGAATTAGTGGGTCTTAAAAGATATATGAGATTTTATCTGGCAAAATAGGTGATAAGAAGAATTTCCCAAGCAGAAGGAACATTGTAAGTGTAGATAAAGAAGCATGAAATTGGGTGATGTATTTGTGAAACAGCAAATGACAGCAAATGTTCCAGGACTGTGAAAGCATTAGGTTGGCAGGGAAGAAAATGATAAGAGATGAATCTAAAAATAGAATTTAATGCCTGCACTGGTCAGTTGTTTTGTTTTGTTCTAAGTGTATTTACTGAGCAAGAGGGAACCTGCTACACCTCTTTCCAGCCTTTGAGCAAGACAGGACCATGAACAGGTCCAGCATGTTCAGGCCAACTGGGGTTCTGAACCCGGGCATTCCCATGTGGCTCCAGGTACAAGTAGTGGTGCCCTGCTACCTGTACTACCATGACTTGTAAGCAAGACATATCCTGCGATTGGCTGGTTTGTGCCCTAAAAATGAGATACAGTTTTAAGCAGATTAGGCATAATTTACATATCCTAAAATCCTGGAAAATCAGGCAAAGAACACAGGCAAGTAAAAGAGATGATAAATCAGAGCCATAGCCAAAATTAACCCCCAAATCAGTTTAAGCATGACACCATAGTCCCATAGCTATGATGGGCTTCCTGTCTTAGGTGGAAGGACTGAACAGTTATTGGGTTCATCAGACTCTCTTACCCATCTTTGGCTAACTGATTCAGCACCTCAGGTGAGACCAGTATAGGGGTGTTGGTCTTCCATCTCCAATCTAGTATAGTGGACCTGGATAGGCCGCACAGTAAGTGAGTCAATTTGTTGCTTGAGGAATGACAATGAGCCCATTAAATATAATGGGTCCCAGTGAGCAAACAATTAAAAGGCCAATGAATGGGTCAAGTGGGGGAGCAAGAAAGGGAGGAGACCGTTACTGGCAGACCATTGGCGAGTTGTTTTCTATGTCATTGGAGAGATTCTTGGAGTTGATGTATTTTGTCACAAATGATGCCGGACTTGTTGGCGTAAAAGTAGCAGTGTTCCTGTAAAGCAATTCAGAGACCCCCCCTGTTCTGCCAGGAGGAGATCTAAATCTAAGAAGGATCTTCATTTTGTTGATCTGTGGAAGGAGAGAGAGACATCTCAGGGTTTTGATCATCCCTGGATGGCTTGTTAGAAGCAATCTGTTTGATTAATCTTTCTGGTAGCCAACGAGCAGCCTCCATTTTTTGAGAATAGATGCAGACAGACCCTCTGCCCCAAATGAGGACAGGGTCCAGACCATTCCATGTATTATCCAGAGGATCTTTCCACAAAACTGAGGCAAATTTTGTTTTGGTAGTTAAATGCCAGAAGCGCTCAGCAGCTGAGTCTCTATCTTTATCAAGAGACAGGAAATTTAGGACAAAAAGAGCATGTGCCAGAAGGTGTTTTGGCGAGCCCTTAGTCTGTAAAAGCTCTCCCTTTTTTAGCTTTTGGAGAGTATTTTTCAAGGAAAGATGAGCACGTTCAGCAATGCCTTGTCCCTGGGGATTGTATGGAATTCCCGTAACTGTCTGATCAGAGAAAGAATAGGAAGCAGTTCTGTTGGAGGAACCATCAGTAAAAACCAATAAAGCATTTGAAACAGGATGAAATGAAGTTTGTACAGGGAAAGAAAATCATGGGTAGATAAAAAATATAAAAATGTATCTGGAGGAAGATGGTTATCAATAGTTCCAGTAAAGGAATCACATGCAATAGACCAGAAATCTGTTTGTTGGAATAGCCAATTAACTTGGTCTTTAGTATATGGCTGGATAATTGTATCAGGGCCTTTGCCAAAATAGGTAATGCTTAAATTTCGAGCCATACTGATAATATCAGCTACAGCTTGATAATAAGGGTATATGACTTTTGAAGAAGATGGTAGGTGAACCCACATGATTGGAGCAGATTGCCAGAACACAGCTGTTGGTGTGACCGAAGTGCGACAAATAATAAGGAGTAATGGCAGTCTATAATTGATGGCTGTGATGAATCGAGAGGCAATGACCTTTTCTTTAATTATTTTTTGTTTTGGGTCAATAAGAGACAGTGCTAAGGCAATAGTGCTATAGGGTGGCAGCCGTTTTTTGAAGGGTGACCATTCGAGGTTATTATATTTGTCAGCCTCAGCCTCTAGGATTTCCTCCTATGAATTAGTTGATGACTCGTTTTTCTTTGGCTCTTGTAGAGCCTGAAGGTTGTTTTTCTTTTTTAGTTTTTTGGATTATTTGGGTTTTGTCTCACCTTCGGGGCTTTTAACTTCTTCCTCACTATCCAGGGAAATAAAATCCTCTCCCTGTTCTTTTTCAATTTTAGAATCCTTGGTTAGATCGACCATAGTGGCAAGGGCTTCTTTTAAGCCCTGAACGAATAGTTCATGCTGACTAAGCTCTTGTTCATGCTGACTAAGCTCTTGTCCTATTATTACCCTTATTACTTATGAGTAAGCAACCTTTGTTACTTACCGGGACGATTCTCTGCCATCCCCTTCTGGACAATTCTCTGCCATCCTCTTCAGTTTTCCTCTGCGGCCTTTCTTGAGACGATTCTCTGCCATCCCCTTCTCAGGTGCTCTTCACTGGATCCTTCATACTCAGGTCCCTCGTCCGGGTGCCAGGTGTCCCAACCCACAGGATAGTTGAACAAGTTTTCCTGAGGGAAGGAGTGAGAGACGGGATGAGCAGCACAATGTTATAACATGGAGATGACACAGTGTTACAACTCTTCAGGGTCATCCGTTTATTGTGGGCCAGGGATCATGGTTATATACATGTTGGTGGGTGGTGATTGGTTAAATGAAGGATTGTAAAAGGTGGGTTATAATTGGTTGCTTTTGTGGACCAATCATGAGGTGCCAGATATGCAAATCTGAGGGATTCTATGCTCACCGATTTGCTATGGGAAGTGGCCAATCAAAGTTTGGTTTTAAAGGTGAGGTTTTTGAAGGGAGCCAATCGTGGCCTTTATGGGAAGTGGCCAATCAGAGTATGGTCTTGAAGGTGAGGTTTTGAAGAGGAGCCAATCATGGCCTTTGGCATTGTGTAATTGTTTGCTAGAATTTTTATTTATTTCTGAAATTTTTTAAAAATTGATTTACATTCACTCCCTAAGCATCATCACAGCATACAAAATGTGACTTCCCATCCAGAATATACTGCATAGTCACTTAATTGTGCATATTATTATCAAAAATTTTCCATTTCTATTTCTGGAATTTTTTTAACCCCCTATTTCTGACCCTCTGTCCTTTCCCACCCTCTTCTCACACTATCTCTGGTGTCTACAGTTGTCTTCCATTCCTTTCCTCCCACATTGTATTGATCGCACATTTTCTTAAATAATATAACTACTTTCAATGGTAAGTTCACTTGGTACTATTAATAAAACCAGTTTTAACTGAAATCAAAGAAATGCTAAGGAATTTTGCTTAAATCCAGGAAACAGATTAGGATTCTGTTCATATAGTAGGTGCATGAACCTATCCATATCTCAAGACAGGACACAAATCCTTACAACCAGATAACAAAGTCTACAAGAAAATCAGCAATATTTTAGTCAAAAGTCATAACATTATACTTCACCAATTTAGTCTCATGTACTTTATCTTCTGTTGTGGTTCGATTTTCCCGATTAAATTCTGGGACATAATAGTCAACTCCAGACTTGTTCCTACGGTTAAGTTGGCCACTTTCTTAGTTTTTGAACTTTTATTTCTGTGTGTGTCTGTATTTAATTTTCCTGATACAGCATTCCCTTGAGAACTTCTTGGAGATCTCGTCTGGTGCTGGTAAATTCTTACAGGTTTTGCTTATCTGAGAATGTTCTTGTCTTTTCTTCACAGATGAAAGATTATCTTGTTGGGTACAGTATTCTTGGCTGAAATTGCTTTTCTCTTAACACTTTGAATATATTTTCCAATTCTTTCCTCACTCGCATTGTTTCCGATGAGAGGTCTGCTGTTAGCCTGATGGGATATCCTTTGTAGGTAACTTGATGTTTTCCTCTTGCCAATATTAATATCTTGTTTTCTTCCATGAGTGACAGAGAAACAGACAACACTCCTGACAAGGTCTTAGCATGATGAGTCATCCCTAGCTGCAGCCAATTCCAGATCATGGGCACATGTGTGCCCAGTGTACTAATCCAGGTCTCTAGACTCAAACGCAAAGCTTTCCCATGTGGGTTAGCCTAGCAAAGTGTCTTGTTTTACCTCTGTGTACAATCCAGCTCCCAGTATTTGAGAGGTACCCCTGATAAGGTACCTGATACAAGGGAAGCTGCTAAATTGAGGTGAGGGCCATTGTCCACTAAGGAGTGTAATTTCCCAAATGTATAAAACCATTTGTAATTAATTATTTGATCAGTGAAGGATCTGACTGCTGATGACTAAGAACAATAGTGACCATTACCATGTAATGAATACAGACTTACTCTCACAAGAAGCTGAAGAAAGGATTATTCCAATTTTACAGATAAGAACAGTGTTCTAGACAGGTTCATCATTTACAGTACTGTAAGAACAACTGGCATGACAAATACACTCTAGAGGGAGCCCTTTCACTGCTGCATTGAAGTCAATTGGGAGAGTGCAGATTGTAGACAGAGTCAAGAGAAGATAAAAGTCTAAAAGAGAAGAGGCAGGAGGAAAGCAGTTTTCTGTAACTGTAGTGTACATCAGAGTCATCTTGAGGCAACTGGGCTCTTTCTGCTGGGTCAGCATGTCTGGCCGGGGTCCAGGAACTTGTACTCTAACAAGCTCCAAGTTTATGCTGTTGCAATTTGTTCAGGGACCACATTTTAAATTAAATAGATTGAAAGGATTTATAGTAAGTAGATTTTTTAATCATTTCTTAAATCATAGTAATATATGGCTCCCTTTTACTGAAATGCATTATTATTGAGACTACCGATGCTTCTCCTCTAATTTTATTATAATATCCTTTTAAAATATATGTACAAAAACTTAGATATAAACTCTTTAAGTTTATAGCTCAGTACAAGAATAAAACCTACACCATGTTTAAGTTACATATGAATAACACTATAAAATAAAATTCAAATTAACATGAATTTGAATATGACAGATTATATTGGTCTGCTGAAATTAAATAGCTATTTTTACATTTAAAAGAAAAATATACAGCCTCAAAACCAATTTTATTTTTAATCTTTTTTTTGGTAATACTTATGTAAGGAATGAATATTTACATGGATATAGTCTATAAAGTAGTATTAATACCTTCCAGGCTCTGTTCCCAACCTTACACATGATCAAAATTCTACTAGTGAACACTTCTATAATGACAGTATTAATAAAATGTTTCCTAGTATCTCTGTGAAGTTAGTTTTATGTATATTATGAGAATTGCAGTATTACTGACTGAAATATATATTAAACAGTCATTGTTGAACTAAGAAACTTTTATTTTTTAATTACAGGGACCAGCAGATGGCATAATGGTTATGTCACTGAACTCCCATATGGTCTAATGTAGTTTGAGTCCCATACCCGGCAGGTTAAAACTCACTCCAGGCACATGTATGTGTGTCCCCAAGATCACAAGAGAAGAATGGAGAAGAAGGGATTTCAGCATGACCATCACCCTTGTGGGGTGATTTCTTGCTTTCTGTCTCACTGTCTCTCTGATAAGTGCATGTGCCCTATAGTAAAACTCTCTCCCCCCCCAAAAAAAAATCATTACATATTTACTACTGTACTTTCATTGATAATGATGTTACAAATTCATGTGTGCTATGCCCACTACCATGCCAATCCTTAAATCACACCATAGATATGGAACTGAATGGCAAGGTACGTGTGCCATTAACCCTTTAAGTTGAGCATTTCCTACTACCATATACAATGCAATGGTTCTATTTAATTTTGCTATACTCTTCTGAAACATCTAAAGAATATTTACTTACACAGATGACTTCATTCGAATTCTCTAGAGTCAATCATTAAGGCAAGGAATCTAATAAAGAGATTTATTAGGAAGCACTCACAGTAAAACACAGGTGTGAGAATGAAGAAGTGGGGCAGGTAGGAGAAGGAAGCCAAGTGAGGGAAGAATACCAGGAAAAATGCTGTAGAAGATAACTTTGATGTAATCCTTCACAAAAGCTGTAGAAACGGGGCAGCTCATAGTCCAGGTTTTTCCTAACTAAAGCCAGGGGTACTTGAATATTTATATGGACTCAGTTATCCACAAATCAGTCATTGGATAAAGGCTGTCCCTTGGGAGGCACAAATTTCCAAACACTTGTAACCCATTCTGGCAGCCTGAGGGCAACCTCTGACATAGAAATGCAGCAGCTGGCTATTGGATTGAGTGTAGGCATGAATCAGTGTGTTCAAAAATGTGAAAAGAAAATTAGAGGAAATATGAGTAGGGGACTGTCAAGTATGACCTCCCAGGACACTATTTGGCCTTTATTTATGAACATAATGTATTGCCTCTTGGCTCAAAATCTACCCTTCTTTATCACGAGTGTGACACTGCAGCTAGACTTTGTGACTATTTCTTGCATACTAGCTCATCAGTGTTAGGTTTTGTCAATATTGGAAACTAGAAGTATGCTACAAATAGAGCAAAAATAAGGGCTTTTACTGCTGGATACAATGTACTATTTAAGGAGCAAGTGCCAGTATATTAGAAACGAGAAGCCCTGTAGTACTCCTCTCAATAGGCTTTTTTTTTTTTTTTTTTGGAGAGGTTTTTGCTATAGGGCGTGTGCACTCACCAGACAGACAGAGAGGAACATAGAGACAGAAAGCGAGAAATCACCCCCCAGGGGGGATGGTCACGCCGCAATCCCTTCTCCTCCACTCTCCTTTCGGGATCTTGGGCACGCACGCATACACGCCCGGCATGAGTTTTAAGCCACCGGGTCCGGGACGCGAACCGCGGTCGACTACGTGGGAGTCCAGCGACATAGCCATTACACTAACTACTGGTTCCCACCTCTCAATAGTTTTCATGCCATAGCTATAACCTACATTACGAGCTTCTCCAGCCTCCCAGCAGACTGCGCCTATAGACTAGCTTAATACTACCTATGCCTTTCAGAAAATATATCATCTACCCAGTAGGCCATTCCTATGAACCAGCTCCAGTTCCTGTCTTCTGACCACTTCCTTTGCTACTAGCCTGCTACGCATTTCTGTGGCAGTCATTCTACCTGCAATGAGGTCTGAATCTCAGTTTGGGGTGTGTTTTTCTAAGTACATAGTTCTTTTCTTATTCACTTTTTTTTAGCTCTACAGGGCTGCTATGGCTTAAATAAGTCCCCCAAAATTCATGCAGTAGAAACTTAATCCCCTTGGGGCCGACTGGTCCCATAATGGTTAGGGCAATGGACTCAGACATAGCTGACTGTGTTCAAACCCCAAATCCAGAATCTTGAAACACTCCAGGCTCATGTGCATGCCCACAATCCTGAGAGGAGAATGGAGGAGAAGGGATTGCAGTGTGGCCATCCCCCATGGGGGGTGATTTCTCACTTTCTGTCTTTCTGTCTCTCTCTGTCTCTCTGGCGAGCACACACACCCTATAGAAAAATTCTCTCTGGAAAAAGAGAAAGAAGAAAGAAAGAAAGAAAGAAAGAAAGAAAGAAAGAAAGAAAGAAAGAAAGAAAGAAAGAAAGAAAGA